TTGGATGAATACTCATTGGTAGGACCATTATTATTACCTCCATGGTAGGACAGTGTAGTACATTGTTGTATAGACGTAGGCAATTGTTGATGGTAGAATAAATCTTTTTGATAAACAGTCAGGGAGAAGCTTTAAGGCTGGCATATTCAAAACGCGTACCAAAGTATGAAGCACATTCTGTAGTCTCTAGTGGTGCAGATAAACAAACACCTTACATGTTGTCCTTAAAGCATGACATTTGGCACAGATATACTTTGACCCAAACAGTCTATTGTTGAGTATGCCTAGAGGCCGATATATAGAAGGTAATACTGAGATAACGCGTCCTGTGACGACATAACGGGTTAGAGGTCAACTCAACTGAGCCACATCATGCAAATTCTTAGCTCATGTAAAGTGAAATACAGCAATTAGTTTTCAACAGAGAGTTTTAATACACAACTAGAATCGTTACTGGTAGTATGTCCGAACGAGTGAGTGAGTGAGTGAGCAAAATGGTTTGTAAATAATTGTAGATAAAGTGTTTGGCGAAAATTGCATATAATGCATTTTATAAATATATAGTGTGCATGAAACATATATATATATATAATATAGTTGAGAATTTGAGATAGTGAATTCTAATAGAACGGTAAAGAACTTGAACTGGTTTGATAAACATTTGAATTCATGGAGAGGACAATGGCTACCCACACAGAGACACTGTCTCCTCTATGTGAGTAGACACTGTCTTCTCTATGTGATTAGACACTGTCGTCTTCCACAGAGAAGGCAGTATCTCCTCATATAGAGAGGAAAGTATTTTCTCACACACAGAAGAAAGTGTCTACTGATATGTTTAGTAATTGACAAAGACTCATTAGAAATTGTGCTGGTGATCCGATGTCGTTAATTGGTGTATTTTTATACTCTGGTATACTGAGGTAAGGGTCTTTCCCATCATCTCTTGTTTTCTGAGTTAGATTGTTTATGGTCTGTACTGTCCGCTCTACCAAACCGTTTGATTGGCTCATATATGGGCTAGTTGTTAGAAGTTTGAAGCCCCGTTGTTTAGCAAACTGTTGATATTCAGTTGCAGTGTATTGTGGTCCATTGTCACTTCTGACTTCAAATGGTATTCCATGTCTTGAAAGGATTGACGTGGTGTGGTTTACAACTGTGCTACTGCGAGTATTCCCAAGTTTAATAACTTCAAACAACTTGGAATAGTAGTCTGCCACAACCAAATAGTTGGTGTTGTCTAGCATAAACAAGTCAGTTGCTACAGTTTGCCATGGTCCATCTGGAATTAGTGTTGGTATCATTGGTTCTTTCTGGTTTGATTTGCGATATTCCAGACAAATACTACATTTTGATGTCCACAATGTGTGTGTTCATATTAGGCCAGAACAGAATGTCTCTTGCACGCTACTTTGACTTCTCTATCCCCATTTGACCTATATATACTAATTTCAACATTTCGTGTCTTAAAGAATGTGGAATCAGCATTCTTTATCCTTTGAATATTACCCCATCCATGATGGTTAGTTCATGGTGCTTCCAGTACTCTTTAATACTGACATGGAGTTGTGACTTGTTATTTGGCCAACTATTTAGTAGTACAGATGTAAGATGTTTGAGAGAGACATATTTTGCTGTTTCATCTTTAATTATCTGCAACTTTTCATCTGATACTGTCAGATTTGAAATGACATGATGCACGACATATGACAATTATTTATCCATGATGCTGTTGTCATTACTTCCAAGTGACTGAAATAATAAGGGGGCTCTTGACAATGTATGAGCTGTGACTAGTTCCTTCCCTGGTTTGTCTCTCAGTAATATGTCATATTTCTGTAGCCTGAGAAGCATTCGCTACAGTCTTGCTAGTGCTGCTGCAAGTGGTTTCTTCATGATGGATTCCAAAGGTTTGTGCACAAATTTACCGAGGTAATTTACTGTACACAGTAATCGGATCATTGCTTGCTTGTCTGTTGGTGGCGGCATCTCAGTTGTAGCTCGAATCTTTTCTGGGTCTGGTTGTACTCCTTCTGGGGTGAGAATATTTCCCGATTTTGTGAGTTGAGTGTGAGATTTATTTCCACACATTTTTTTAGTGTATCCTTCAACCTTTCATCATGATTGGCGGTTGTTGTAGTACCCCATACCAAAATGTCATCTATGTCTGTTTCAACACCAGGCAGGTTATCAAAGTGTTGGGAGATTCTCTTCTGAAATACCTCTTGTGCTGAATTGATTCCAAAAGGCAGATAGCAATATCTACCAAAGTATGTATTAAATGCAGTGAGTAGTTGACTGGACTTGCCAGTATCCATAGTTGTCGTCTAGTTTTGTTAAAACTTTAGCTCCTGACATGCGTGTTATGTCTTCAAGTGTAGGCAATTGATAATGCTCTTATTTGATTGCCTTATTTAAGTCTTTTGGGTCTACACATATGCGTAGTTTACCAGTCTTTGGTTTCTCTACAACAACCATGGAGTTCACCCAGGCTGTTGGCTCATCTGTTGGCTCGTCCAGTGTTTTTCTCAGTTTCGTAGATGCACTACTGGTATGGCAGATGTGTCTAACCTGATATGATATGGTTCAGTTAGACAGCCTAATCCTCCATTGAACACTTGTGAGAATTTCTCCATTATCATCATTTTTGAATATTCATGACTACCTTGATTAAACTTAAGTCATGTGAAGCCTTTAAAGTTGGTTGGTCAGGCTCTGTGACATAGAAATCAAGATCGTTTTCCATGCAGTTTGCATTTCCCATGAACCTTTAATTTTTCATCACTATAACTTGTCAATGTAATGCAAGTCTTCTGAATTTGAATGTCCCTGATTTTCTCGAATATCTTCACTTTGCTTGAAATCCTGTATCTATTTTGAATCTCATATTTGTACCATGAATGTCAGTTGTTACATAGCACTCGTCTTCTTTAATCTCAGTGTTGCATTTATTTTTGATGGCTCCAACATAGAGAGTGCTGGATTCAGTTCTTCGCTGATTTTGGATCTAAAGTACTTTTGATAGTGATTCATTTTATGGCATTTCAGACATCTCCTGCCATATGCTGGACATTGTTTTCTTGCATGTACAGTGCCTCATTTCACCTGTCTTTCTTATGATATTTGTGACTTCAGTCGTACGAATATCTGCAATATATCTCACTGTTGCAACCAACCAAAATTATAATAAAGACATGAGGCAATATATATGAGTTATATATCAAATGACTATATATGGTTATGTGACCTCATTATTATGCATAATTGTGATACCTCAAGCAGACATGGACATACAACCAGTGCTACAATGAGACCATTAAATGGCATATGACAAACTTATCAAATGATCCTATATAGTCATGTGATCTTATTGATGTGAATATTTCTAGTACCTTTTTACAAGTCTTATACCTTGTGAAATCATATAAAATTAACCAAATGATAGCCAATTTATCAAAATTATTATCACAAATTTTAACGTGTCATCAACAATTTCACATGTATACCTGGGCCAACTATATTCAGTATCACTATAGACATCACATTTTGTATACTGATATGAGATTTGACTAAAAAAGACTGATTAAAGGCCGGTGGTCGTCGCGCAGTGCGTGTTCGAAATTCGTGTAAATAAAAAATGTATTTTACATGCGTTGTGTATGTCGCTATGAGTCCCATATCGAACAGGACGCGGCGCGACGACTGCCGCCCTTCAACAGTCAGCATACATAGGAATGTCTTTGAGGACAATCAACTATGTTTAATGTGTTTCATAACTTATGAAAGTTGCACATCATTCTAGCAAGGAAAAATATTGATTAATTTTGAGCAGGTTATATAATGAAATAATTAATATTTCATTTTTGTTAGTGTATCTTTAATTTTATTTATTAAAACATGTACACATTATAACTAATTGGGGTGGGAATTGCCAAGCCAATTTATAAAATTATAAACAAATATTTTCGTAAATAACACTGACCGTGAAAAGTGTTACTGATGGAATATTTTATATTACAATTTATTTCAATTTTAATTAGTTGTATTGCAATGTATTAGTAATAATGTAAATGTATATATATACTTTTTTTATTTCATTGTTGAGACTGAGTTATATATTTGTTACGTACTATAATTTATCTATATTGGAAAACTGTTATGGGGATTATTAATTTTAATAAACAATATTCAACTATCTTTTGCAACACCAATAAGATCATAATGATAATGTAATGTAAGCATGGGTCTTATTTTGGAACTCCTGCCAGAGCAACTGTACAAACCATAAAGGCAAATTAATAGCTTCTAAGGATGGTATTCCCAGAAAAGCGCAAGTTGCTAAAGAAACATAAAACTTTAATTCTCAACAATGATGAAAGAACCAGTTACTGCGACAAAGCCCTATTCCCCGCAAGACCCACCCAATACGAAACCCACTTAACGCAAAAGCCACTTAACGCGCCACTTAACGTGAAAGCCACTTAACGTGAAAGCCACTTACCGCGAAGCTACTAGTGTACAAAACAAAATAACATATAATAATTATTAATAATACATAGTTATTTTCTTTATTTAAAAAAAACAATATACCTTGCAATTCAGTAATTATGTAATGTAGTCGAGAAATATTAATACTAATATCGAAATACAATTAGTATTAGTATTATTGTTGTTATTATAAAGCACAGTATCTTCTCACGTAGAGAGGACAGTGGGTGACATGAAGCATAAATCACACGATCGTGACATACATTTCAATTGTACTATCATCTCTACCACAATATGCCCTCATAGAACTATTAATGACATTTTTACAATGGGAAACGCATATAGATTAAGCTTAGCAAAATGTGCAGCAGTTAATAATTTGATAATGCATTCCTACTTAAATATTGATATTCATTGAAGTGTGCCCTACATGGTGTGTTTTGTATCTCATTAGTTTTTCAAGTCTTTAACTCATTTTGTTGTTAGGATATTGGCAACTAATTAACATATGCAAATATATTCTAAATTAATGTTTCACATTCAACTTGAAAGCCACCATGAATGTATACATGCAACTGTTATCATGTTTAAAACAAACATGCTAATAGTGGTTATTTATTATGAGCATTTTTAACCAAAATCTAATTACTCTTGAAGTTCATCATAAAATATGTGTGAACAAAAACGTCATCCCAGCGCTTCTGTGAATATTAGATTAGCAAGATTTGACATATCATTCATCCGCACATTCATATAAACATCGGTAAGACATTCGGCATGAACATGTGGGGAATATCTTTAATTATTACCTACATATATCATATGTATTCACGAAATGGCATACAAAACAAAATATGATGGCGCTGTATCGTCATATATCAATCGTGTTCTCGGTCATTCCATTCTTGGAACCTACAGTGATTACTTTGTCTTGAAAATGTTGTTTTGTTCAGCAAACTGGTTCGTCTCTCAAAAATAATATCAAACAGAAGCTGGTAATGCATTTTTTAAGTAATACTATGTCAACACATTTGAGTGTCTATGCTTGGGTTTATATTCAGCTGTTGCAATAATCTGTAATATTAAACACTAATGGGTTGTCGACACAACATTACTAGCTTAAAGCGAGGGAATCGTCACCTGCGCATGTGTCAGATGGCCAATAGGGTGTCATTGTTTACAAACAAGCGTCTACCCATGAGCCTTTGTGTTTTTTAGCGTGTGTTGTTATCGTCGCTTGGGACTCAATTGCCGCGCGTGCGCAGGTGACGACCCTCCAGCCTTAACATCATGTTTGTACTTTGTACTCGTACTGGAAAAATTTCTGTAAACAGTAAACGCCATGTTGTTAGCTAATTGATGACTTTATTTGGGGCCTTCAACATAAAATTAATACATTACAAACAAGCAATCGGTGGAACAACAGTGCATCACATCAAAGCAGGCATTTAAGCAAAATAGCAAACAAAAAATAATCAATTGTAATTAACTAATGTTAAACATTTTCTTTTAAATTGTCCGATAATAGATCATGATTTTGAATTAACGATTAGCTGAGGAAACAAGCAGCCTGTCGACTGAGATAGCTCCGCTGTTAGCAATGTACATTTCAATTAAGATCTGAAGATATCATTAGAAAATGAACAATATGTAAAGTATCAAAGCAATCGGATCTGCTGTTTTTAACAAGAAGTCGAAAATATCACTTTTTACCAAAAATTACAAAAATATTCATCAAAGTTAGAGAATTAAAGATATCTTCACGAAATAAACAAATCTGAGAGAGGTCCACATATAGTGCCTATATATGTAATAT